GAAAGACAAATATGGTATGTACTCACTCATAGGAAGATGCTAGATGTGGAACAAGGATGACTGGACTGCTACTCACATCACCAGTGAAACTACCTGGAAAACGGGACCCCAAGAAAGACAAGTAGAAATGGATGAGATCCACATGAACAGCCTGGACATGAGTGGGAGCAGTGAGGGGCGAGGTTTGAGGGAGAGAGGGCGGGAGATCCTGGCTGGATCAAGAGGGGAGGGGGAGAACAGAGAATAGGAGACCATGGTAAATGAAGACCACATGAGAAAAGGAAGAAGCAAAGAGCTAAAGAGGCCCACCAAAACCTACGGGGATGTCCCCACAAAAGACTGCTGGCAGTGGTCGAGAGATGGCCGGGACTGACCTACTCTGGTGATGGGATGGCCAAACACCCTAATGGTTGTGCCATGGACCCCATCCAAGGACTGAGGAATCTGGATGCAGACATTCACGGCTAGGCCCCGGGTGGAGCGCTGGGAGTCTAATTGGTGAGAGGGAAGAGGGTTTATATGAGCGAGAATTGTTGAAACCAGGGTTGGATAAAGCACAGGGACAGAAAACCAAATGAATGGAAACACATGAACTATGAACCAAAGGCTGAGGGGCCCCCAACTGGATTGGGCCCTCTGAATGGTTGAGACAGTTGATTGACTTAAGTTTTATCACATCTTGATCATATGTAACACGTGGAGTTAATTCAGTTTTTAGTAATTTGTTATGATTTATTTTGTTTGTTTTCAAGGATGTGGTCTATTTTAGTGAAGCTTCCATGCATATATTCTTTGATGTTTGGGTGAATGTTCTGTGGATATCTCTTAAGTCTGTTTTATGTATAATGTCATTTAATTCTTATGTTTCTCTGTTTTTCATCCAGAGGACCTGTCCATTAAAGAAAGTGGAGTATTGAAATCACTTAATATTATTGAGCTGGTGTTAATCTGTGTCTTTATTTCCAGTAGTGTATCTTTTTATAAAATTGTGTACACCAAAATTGGGTTTATATATGGTTTAAGATTGTAATGTCCTCTTAATCATTCCATTTGCTAGAACAGAGTGATCTTCTTTATCTCTTACGTCCAGTTTCAGTTAGGCACCTATTTTGTCAGATGTGTGGGTATGAATGCCCACCTGTTTCCTTGTTCCATTTGTCAAGAATACTTCTATGCATTTTTCGACTCTAAGGCACTGCCTGCCTTTAACGTTAAGATGAGTTGCTTGTATGAAACACAAAGATGGCTTTTGTTTCCTGATCCATGTGTCTAGCCTATGTCTGTTCATTGAATCCATAGTTAGGACCAATAATATTAAAAATTAGTATTGAAAACTATGTTGATTACCATCATTATATTGCTGTATTTCTTCTTAGTTATGCATTGCATTTCAGTTATTATACCTTCATTTATTTTCTTCCTAAAGTATCTCAGTTATGTTTATTGCTGTCTCTATTCTATACCATTGCTTCCAGTATTCTCCATGGGTCTAGTTTGGTGAATATGAATTCTTTTAGCCTGTTTTATTATGCAAAGTTTTCTTTCTTTCATAACAATGGCAGATAGTTTTGCTGCTACAGTAGTCCAAGATGGCATCTGTGGTCTCTTAGCATGTGGAGTACATTGTGGACCCTTCTAGTATTTAAGTCATCATTAAGAAAGATGTAATTCTGATGGATTTTCTTTATATGTGACTTATTTTTTTTCTTTTACAGCTTTTGATATTCTTTCTTTATTTTTTATACTTAGGATTTTAACTTTAGCATGCCATGGGGAGTTTCTTTATGGCCTTGTCTATTTGGTGTTTTGTGTGTATCTTGTATCTGTATAGATATGTGTTTCCTTCAGTTGGAAAACTTTTCTTCTACAATCTTGCTGAGGACCTGGTCTTTATAATTGACCTGGGATTCTTTTCACTCAGCTAACCCTGTATTTAAAAGATTTGTTCTTTTCATGGTGTCCCACAATTCCTGAATGTTTTTTCCTGTGTTTTTTAATTTTTCATATTCTGTGTTTCTATGGTCTAATGATGATACTTTATCTATAAGACCTGACCTACTTAATGTGTTCTACTTATATGGATTTTCCCCCATGACATTTTCAACTAGTTTGTTGATTATTTCAATTCCAACTGCAATTCAGCTTAAGATTTATATATCAACCTTGAATTCTGTGTTGTCCTCATCATTTAATTAAGCTTTAGTATTTTATTTTCTTAGGCAACATGGGCGTTTATGACTATTCTAAGGTCATCAATATGTTTGTTTTGGTCTTTAAAAACCTTGAAACGTTTGATGCTTTTTATGATTGGTATTTAAAAACTGTACTGTGTTCAATCAGACAATTCTCACTGGAGAGCATTAATATAAGTTTTGTGGGTTTATGGGGAAGCTTACTATTTGGAATTTTATATTGTTTGTCTTTTGGTGATAAGTCCCACCATATGTATACTTTTTATTGTGTGTCTGATATGGAGCAAGAATACAGATTCTGGACAAGACTAGATGTTGTGGAAGTATGATCTCTTAGTGTCTGCATAATGTCTGTCCAGGACCTTCTGGCTTTGACAGTCTCCATTGATATTTGGCCGGGTATTATTCTGTTGAGTCTGCCTTTATAT